GGCAAGCTACCGAGAGTATTCGATATGCCAGACACAGTAACAACAAAGTCTCCAATGGAGACGTTACTGGGCCCGCTCCAGCAAATCGACGATCAACGGGAGGGCCTTTACCTTTATCTTTACCTTCTAATAAGCACAATTCTATATGCCATGGGCTGGAGAAATAGCACAGTGGTAGGGCATTTGCCTTGCACTCAGCCAACATGGCCGACCCGAGTTTGATTCCTCCGCCCCTCTCGAAGAGCCCAGCAAGCTACCGAGAGTATCTCGCCCACACGGAAGAGCCTGGCAAGCTATCCGTGATGTATTCGATATGCCAAACACAGTAACAATGAGTCTCATGATGGAGAGGTTACTGGGCCCGCTCGAGAAAATCGATGAATAACAGGAGGACCGTGACCGTGACTGTGACCTATATGCCATAAGCAAGTAGCACTGTAACACTGTCCTCCCATTGTTCATGGATTTGCTAGAGCGGGCGCCAGTAATGTCTCCATTGTGAGACTTGTTGTTACTGTTTTTGGCATATCGAATATGCCACGGGGAGCTTGCCAGTATCTGCTGTGTGGATGGGATACCCTCTGTAGCTTGACATGGCTGCATGGTCGATCATGCAGAATCCTTTGTGGAACCTGGCTTGCTTGCATGATTTTCCTTCATCTAGTGTTCTGCCAATCCTATTCAGGATAACTCCAGTGAACAGCTTGTAGATAACAGACAATAGGCAGATTGGGCGATAGTTGCCAATGTCGTGGATGTCTCCCTTCTTGTACAGTAGTACAGTCCTGCTGGTTTTCCATTGGGACGGAACCTTGCATTCAAACAGGTAGCGTGTGAAGAGCCGAGCCAGTGTATTGATGAGTACTGATGGCAGGTTCTTCAGGTGTTCGAGTCTAATCCTGTCTGGGCTAGGTGCTATTTGTTTCTTTACCAACAAAATTGCTTGTCAGATTTTGGAAGGCATAACATTGGGAACGACATATCCATCCTGCGGAATTTGGTATGTGGAAGGGTGGACATGGCCATTAAAGAGATCTGAGTAGAAGTCATGGATAATCTTCTCCATTGCCCTTCTGGAAGATGTGATAGATCCATCAGGACGTCAGAGGGCAGTCATCTTGGTTTTGTAGTTGGTAAAGAACAGGCAGGCGTTGTGAATGCTTTTCCAAACTTCCTCTGCATCTATCTACCAGCACTTCTGCTCTTCTCTCTTTGAGCTCTTTCTTTATCGCTTCTCTGCACTGCTTTGCAAGCTTGGATGTTCCCTTGTGGTTGCCTGAGGCATGCACCAAGCCATGTTGGCGAATAAGCTCAAAAGTTTTCGAAGACAGGCTTTTTTTTGTGGCTATCTCTCTCTTGGCATTCCTCAGTTGTACAGTTGTTCTTATAATAAATTATTGAATTGTTAAAATTGTTTCCTTTGCTGACACATGCATTTTCAAAAGTATGCATATTTAATGACCTCTCACATTATTCGATACTTTATACAGGAATGAAAAACTGAATTCTTTGGTTTTTAAAAAAATACTTCTTCAATATTTTTCAATACAAAACTTCTTTAAATCTTTTATATATAAGTCAAATATATTTTTGGTTTATTCTTTATACAAGTAGTATCTAATAATTTAATATGTTTTAAGATTTTCTTTACCCTATGATATTTGATTTAATCTGGAGGCAATGTTTCTTCATTTACTTTAATGTTTAAAAGTGTATAAATAGAAACAATAATTAAAATTGAAATTCCTGATCTCTGACTTATATGTTTGATTTTTATAAATATGGTTGAAAGAAATTCAAATTATATGACATAATGTCACTTAGGCAAGACTGATGTTTTTATCACAAATTTACACTATTAATCCTATTTTCTAAATCGCTTCGATCTTCCTTTATCTTTTTGAAATTGTAACTGAAACTGTGGGGTTCCAGCAATGCTCAGCAGACACATGGTGTCAAGTCTGAAGCACAGGGATGCATACTTTTGAGGTAATGGACATTAGAGCTTGCTTCACATCCCCAGCCTTAGGGTGAATTTTATTTGCTAATGGCATTCATATCAATGATAGGTATGCTAGCCACACAATTAAATTTTTGAAATAAAGTACAAATATAAATGTGTTTGAATTTCTTTTTATATTTAAGCAGTTGTATTTTCCATTCACCAGGTCTACCTCCTAGTACAGAGAGAGACACTTAGATGAATACAATTATAAAACTTGTAAATACCAGTGCTGTATACTCTCCCAGACAAATTAAGATAAAATGAGAACATTTTAATTAACAGATGCACTTGGTCCAGAATCATATAACTGACCCTTAATAAACACATTTGATTCTGATTAATGAGATCGTCAGTGGCTAAAGTCCATTAAATAGTAGGTCAATTGATTCTTTTAAGCTGACACTTCTAATGGAGTTGGTACTGGTTTCATTCTATATTATGAACCTAAGAGTTAATTGGAAGGTGGACAGGAGGAAAAAAATCATTTATTTTTCATTCCTTTTTATTATGGGGATGGAGTGACAGCACAGCAGGTAGGGCATTTGCCTTTCACGCAGCCGACCTGACAACCTGGGTTCAATTCCTCCGCCCCTCTCAGAGAGCCCGGCAAGCTACCAAGAGTATCTCACCTGCACGGCAAAGCCTGGCAAGCTACCCCTGACATATTTAATATGCCAAACACAGTAACAAGTCTCACAATGGAGACATTACTGAACCCACTCAAGCAAATCGATGAACAACAGGAGGACAGTGCTACAGTGCTCCTTTCTATTATAATTTTGGTAACATTATTGCAACAGTTAACCTTCATATTTTTGATGAAAAAGGTGACTACACCTCACCAAAATATCTCAAACCTTCCTTTCAACTTTGTTGTTAATAATTAAGTCATGAAAAATGTCTTTGAACTCCAAACCCTTGAGAGTTCTGCCTATGTTGTTTCAACCTGTATTCTGCATTATGGTTAAATCTATGTCTTTGATACACAATGAAGTAATGTTTAGTATAATGTGAGATACAGGTTATTTCATTTCTTTTCTCCAAGGTGTTATACAGTTTTCTGCTATGAGAGAAATATTTCAACTGCCATTTTAATTTCCTGGCTTTATGTTTGGAGTTATAAATAAAAACTGAGAAAATTATTGGTTTCTAGCAATATTCCCATTCCTTCTAATTACAGAATAGAGGCTATTATATCTCCTGAGATACTCTATGCATACACTATTGATCTTTAAGGGAAGAACTTAGTAAAAGAAATTTGTACGATGCTAATCTCTCTCTCTCTAGACCACTTTACCTTGTATTTTACTCAAAGTCTTACAAGCTTAAACCCACACATAGCAATGAAGACAAGATTGATTACTTTGAAATATATTTTGCAGTTTTGAAATATATTTTACAGTTTTACAATGAGAAAATATACAAAGTATGAGGTTGATTAAAGTGAAAGATTTTTGAAAAAGTGAGGTTAGGATGAAAATTAAATGTACATACATGGTTGAAAAAATAATATAAAGCATTTAAATTAGGTAAGACATAATCATATATTTGGAAAACTTTCTTTTATTTCACTCAATAATGAAGGATTTTATTTACTTGAAAGAAAAGAGATTATCTTTAGAAAGTCATTAAAAACTTGCTTCACTTATTTATTGCTTAGTGTATAAATGAATGTATTCAACAAAGACGCAACAGAACTATCCAAATCTTCCTTTTCAGAGGGCTTTACATAAATGAAGATACAAATTCCATAGGCAATAGAAACTACAATCATATGAGATGAGCAAGTAGAAAAGGCTTTTTTCCTTTGTTGACAGATGGAAATCTCAGAACTGTTCTGATAAAATAATGTATGTGTAGGAAATAATGACACACACTAGTGCGATAATGAAGGCAAATCACAGCCATAAGGATAACCATTTGTTCTATAAGCCATGAATCAGTACACTAGATCTTTAGGAGGGTCTTAAATCACAGAAAAAAATGATTAACAACATTGGAGTGACAGAATTCAAGCTCAAGGGACATGCAGAGAGGTGAGAGAATGACCAGTAAGCCTGATACCCAACAGGAAAGAACTAACGTGGAACATACCCAATGGCTCGTGATGGTCATGTAATGAAGGGTCTCACAGATAGCAACATAGCGATCATAGGACATGGTGGCCAGGAGAAAAAAACTCTGTTGCTCCAAAGAAAATAACAAAAAATGCTTGTATAAGCATTCTAAGTAATGGTATTATCCCCAGTTGACATGCTATCCAGGAATCTAGGAATACAAGCAGTTGTAAAAGAGACTTCTAAGAATGAAATATTTCTGAGAAAAAGTACATAGGAGTCATAAGATGTGAGTCCACCAATGTGAAGGTCACAATAATCAGATTCTTTGCTACACTCAGTAAGTAATTTATTCCTTTATCTACTGCAATTCCCTTAATTTTTTTACAAAACCCATAACTTTTCATTTTAACAACTTTTAAGAAGTGAATTTCTATTATTACTACATAACGGAACTTTTATTTTATTTTAGGAGGTCAAACCAGTGGTGCTCTGGGTCTGCTCTGAATATCCCTCCAAGACCACTCCTGGAGGTGACAAGGGGACTATATGGGATACCAAGGTTTGAAACTGGGTCTGCTGCACGCAAGGTAGTCAATCACCTTATACATAGTACTATGTTCCCAGACCACATAATTATCCTCTATTCAATTTATGAATTTGTAAATAAAATTATTTTAATCTTTTTCTAGATCACTTAAAAAACCCATAATTAATGAATACATGTCAAATTAATTTGAAATATGTTTTATAGTTAAAAGGAGAAAAATCTCTATGCATGATTATGGTTTAAAAAATGAAATATGATATAAGTGAGAAGAGATTGTTGCATAAAACCACTTTATGTGTCTAAAAATTATTAAATTAGTGGTATAAAGCATCTAGACATAATATAGATTCATTCGAGTAGTGGAGAACATATTTTTTTATACTTTTATTCACCCAAATTTTGAGTCACTTGAGAAAAATTTGATCCTTTTAATGAAATCATTGAAAGCTTGTTTCACTTGCTTATTCCTTAAGGTATAAATGAAAGGGTTCAACAAAGGTGCAACAGAACTAGTGAGCAATGAAACTCCTTTATTTATGGCAACCTGTTCCTTTGCAGAGGGTTTGATATACATGAAGATGCAGCTTCCATAACTGATGGAAACCACAATCATGTGGGAAGAACAGGTAGAAAAGGCCTTCTTTTTTTGTTGGACAGATGGAAATTTTAGAATTGTCCTGATAATACATGCATAGGAGAGAATTACACACAATAGGGTAATAATGAGTGCAAAAATAGCCACAATGATAACCATTTGCTCTATTAGCCATGTATCTGAACATGAGATCTTTATGACAGGGCTTGCATCACAACTAAAATGATCAACGAGATCAGAGTCGCAGAATTCCAGCTCAAGGCCAATGCTGAGAGGTGGGAGAATGACCAGTAATCCAGACACCCAACAGGTGGAAACTAATATGGTGCATACCCTATTGTTCATGATGGTCATATAATGAAGAGGTTTACAGATAGCAACATAGCGATCATAGGACATGGCTGCCAGGAGAAAAAATTCTGTTGCTCCAAAGAGAAAAACAAAAAATAGTTGACTTGCACAGGCATTGTAACTAATGGTATTATCTCCAGTTGATAAACTGTATAGGAATTTAGGAATACAGACAGTCGTAAACGACACTTCTAAGAAGGAAAAATTCCTAAGGAAAAAGTACATAGGCGTTTTAAGATGTGAGTCCACCAATGTAAGGGCAATAATTATCAGATTTCCTGTTACACTCAGCATGTAGGTGATAAACAGAAAGATAAAAAGTATGATTTGCAGTTGTGGATCATCTGTTAGTCCCAGCAAGATGAAAGTCGTTACTGCTGTGCGGTTTCTCATGTTTTTCTTTTGGATTCTACCAGTCAGCATTGAAAAAAGAAAAGTATTTCATAAGGAGGTAGACATTTACATTTTGATCCAAAATAAAACATATAAAAGTCAAAGAAACTAGTCTACATTTATTTTCCCTTGTCCGTGAACAATATTTCTCAAAACGTCCAACATTTGTATCACTGTAAAAGTTTCCACCATTTTACTTCTTTCTTTCTACATCGCATTTGCATTTTGATTATTATTTATTACATATGCTTATAAATATTCATATTATTATATAACCTTTTTAATTATATTAAGACATTCTTTATCTAAAACAAACTTTACATATAAGATAAAATGAGATAATTAGCAACATGAATTCTCTTCATTCCTTAGTGTCAATGTGTTTATTTTTCCTGGAAATAAAAGAAAGGACAATAACAAAAAATCATCCAACTGTATTTGGAAGTTTTCTTTATCTCATTATTCTTCTCTCCTTATATTCCTTATTCAAAATTGACATATGATTGGATAAATGATATTTTATTAAGTATGTACAAATTATTTCTCCGCCCCTCTCGGAGAGCCCAGCAAGCTACCGAGAGTATCTCGCCCGCACGGCAGAGCTATCTCGCCCACACGGCAGAGCCTGGCAAGCTACCCGTGACGTATTCGATATGCCAAACACAGTAACAACAAGTATCATGATGGAGACATTACTGGACCCGCTCAAGCAAATCGATGAACAACGGGAGTACCGTGACCGCACAAATTATCAAGATATTACAAATTATCAAGTATATTCTTTTATATGTTCAAGTTATTTTTCAAATTGTTGACTGTGATTATGTTTATTGAAGGAAGAATTGAACTTAATATTCCTAAGTATGAAATTAGATACAGAATTTTATTTATTAAACCCTACAACAGACAGTACTCAGGAGTTATCTCTGACTCAGAATTGTCTCCTGATGGCATCAGGAGATTATTTGATGCAGGGGAACTGAGTTGGGGCCAAGTGAACAGAAGGCAAGAAATTTAGCTCTTATATTATCCCTTACATCTATATGAAATTTCATTCCTTATGTTTTAAATTTATATCAGTAGTCATTAATGTCATGACCTTCTTATCTTACCCATCCTAGGAGTAATCTTTTACTCCTGTAAGTCAACCCCACTTCTTTGTAAAACACCATCAAGATTTGACAGTTGTTTTGAAAACCAATATCAAATTTTGTGCTTATGACTTGCACTACCACTATTTTTTTAATTAAATTCAAACATTGTTCAAATTAATTTTATTATTCTACATTATCTCTTAAATCAAGATACATATGCCCATATATATGGTTTTAAACAGACTTCTCATTTTATTTGTTCTTTTACTTATGTGAAGGTTTTGTTTCAATGTTTTTATTTTTATTTAGATGACATGTAAAATGTCGCACCTTGTTTTGCACAAATACTTGTGCTTAATTTCTTTATATTGTGTAATTCTCATTAGAGTGATGAATTATACATGTTAAAATATTATTTTAGGTTTCTCAGAGTCCTAAAAGCTTTTGTCAGTCTGAAGAACAGAGTAAGATACCTCTGTAGATTTAAAATTTAGGGCATGGGACCAGTGATAGTACAGCCTTGCCTTGCACACGGCCAACATGCAATTCTATCCTTCACATTCCATATGGTTCCCCAAGTCTACCAGGAGTAATTCCTGGTGCATAGCCAGGAGTAACCTAGGAGCATCAACTGGTATTGTCCCCAAAACAAATAAACAAACAATTTGGAATATTTTATGAAGAATTTTATATGTATATTTATGTTTAAGATGAACCTAGTCTAAAATTTTTTGCAATCCCAAGAATATCACCTATATGCATACCTTTTTTAATAAGTACAATTCCTATGCCATAGGTAAATATATTTTTGTATATATACAACAGCATTTCAGAAAATATAATGAATGAATAAATTTATAATTATATTCTTTTCTTTAAGTGTCTCATTTTTATCATATTTAATATGCATGTTTTGCAGTAGTAAATATTTTATTTCCGTTTATGGATCATGGTATTAAGTGTTAGTAAGAGTAGTTACAATGATATTCTATCCTAAAGCACAAATTCTTGTGTTCTTTCTATTTCTTTGTCATTGAAGAAAAGTCAGATTTCCAGGAAACATAATTTGGTTTGTTTTATGAATGGATTTTTACTCATTCACACTCTTAAAATATTTCCTTCAAAGTTTTTGAGTCCTCTGAATATAGAAAAATAAATTCGTCTTCCTACAGACATGTGTCTTTTAAATCCCCTGTGACATAATAGAAAAGGCCAACTTATTGTTCAACCTCTAATGCTAATATCAAATTTAAGTGAGTATAAAGAAAAATTAAAAATAAATAAATAGAAAAGAGAGAAACTAATAATGCAAACTTGCAGAATTAATAAGATACAAATAAAGAAATAGATGAATATTTAGTAGTAATATCTTGTGACATACACTTACCTCAGTTATATACTTAAGTTCTTATAGGAATTGTTGAATTGTCAAAATGGTTTCCTTTGATGACATGTGCATTTTGTTCCTTCTCACATGCATCAAGTTTATACAGAAATATTCAGAAAACTGTGTTCTTTGCTTTTTAAAAATAAGGTAAAGGTAAAGGTAAAGGCCCTCCCGTTGATCGTCGATTTGCTCGAGCGGGCCCAGTAACGTCTCCATTGGAGACTTTGTTGTTACTGTGTCTGGCATATCGAATACTCTCGGTAGCTTGCCGGGCTCTCCAAGAGGGGCGGAGGAATCGAACTCGGGTCGGCCATGTTGGCCGCTTGTAAGGCGAACGCCCTACCCGCTGTGCTATCGCTCCAGCGATATTATTTTTAAAAATAATTCTTTAAAATCATTTTCAGTACTAACCTTGTTTATTTTTGCTATATTGACAAATATCTTTCTGATTTACATTTTATTTTAAATAGCACTGTAGGACTATCCTCCCGTTGTTCATCAATTTGCTCCAGCGGGCCCAGTAACATCTCCATTGTGAGACTTGGTGTTACTGTGTTTGGCACATTGATACGTCATGAAGAGCTGGCCAGGCTTTGCCGTGGGGTGAGATACTCTTGGTAGCTTGCTCTCTGAGAGGGTTGGAAGAATCAAACCTGGCTTGGCCAGGCCAGCCGCGTGCAAGGCAAACGCCCTACTGATGTGCTATCGATCCAGCCTGTACGTAAATAATGTCTAATAATTTAATATGTCTCAATATTTGCATCAGCCTTTGAGTTTTGGTTTAATGTAGAAGCAATCAGAGTAATAGAGTAAATAGAGTAAACTCAATTGCCTTAGTGATAAAGTTAATTACTTTAGTGTTAAAAAGTGTAAAAGTAGATAAAATAATTTAATTGACATCCCTGCTCTCTTCTCTTGTTTCATAACCCCCACACACACCCACTCTCCATCTGAAGTACACCAGACAAAATAACCTCAGTGAAATAATTTTGAGGTTTTTTCACTTTGAAGCAAGCCTTGTGTAGTGCTTCATGAACAACAGAAAATTTCTTTGTTGACTCAACCATAGACTAGAGTGATAGCACAGTGGGTAGGACGTTTCCTTGCATGCAGCCGACGGGGGTTTGATTCCTCAGCCCCTCTTGGAGAGCTCAGTAAGCTACTGAGAGTATTCTGCCCGCACGGCAAAGCCTGGCAAACTACCCGTGATCTATTGGATATGCCAAAAATAGTAACAAGTCTCACAATGTAGACGTTGCTGATGCCCACTCAAGCAAATTGATAACAATGGGAGGACAGTGCTACAGTGCTACTCAACCATAATATTACTCTTGATTCAGTAGTAAAGAGGCATTTCCACTGATCTGATAGGTGCTTAGGTGGGATTAGATACCTCTGTTTAAATTCAGATAATAATCATCTAACTTTAGAAGATGTAAATGTTTTAAGCCACATTATAGTTCATTGGGGGTACAATTCTAAACATATTGGATGATAGTTTTGAGATTATACTGTGTGTAATCATTTACTCAAACAAGTATAAATCTTAGCTATGATCTTAATTTTACAAAAAATATTGACTAGTAAAATAATATGAACTATAATTTTTCAGTCCAAAAATTGAATAAAATTAAGTAACAGAATTACAGAAAAAAACTAACAAATATTTCTCTCTCTCATAAGGGAGAGAGTGTCATATTTACCTAAAAATACTTACTGTTTTGATCATTTTTTCATAATTTTACTTGGCAATTCCTTATTGAGTTTATTCTTTGATTAAGCAATAAGTTTCCATAGTGTTTGAACAGGATCATTAAACTATATTTACTTCTCCAGCATTTTCTGAGAGGTCTTGAATTCTTCAGTTTTCCAATTTTCAAATCATAAAAGGCCACTTTTTAAAGGCTTTCTAATGATAAATTTTTGAGTCATTTTTTCTTTATTTCCTAACATGAAAAGAGGAAAACCTAATGTAATAGTGAACAAATAACTTTTTACTTTTTTGTCTGTGGAGAGTTCTGATATTTCTCTGCACGAAGTTGACTTTCTGCAACAAAAATAATGGTATTTATGTCTTCTGCTTAATTGTCTGGAGGGACTCTGGGATTACCTAAGCGAATTCAGTATTGAATCCTGGTCTCCAGGGTTCTCACGTCCCTAATTAAACTTTTGAGTAATGAACTTTAGCAAAGCAACCAAAACAAGGACTCTGTCCTTTGAGACAAGAGAATATAACAACAGTATCAGAAATAAATCAAATTTCTGTCTTACTAACTAGGGGAAAAAGCACGATCTCAATTCAATCTTCTACTACACTTTTACCCGGCAAGCTACCGAGAGTATCTCGCCCACACGGCAGAGCCTGGCAAGCTACCCATGATGTATTCGATATGCCAAACACAGTAACAACAAAATCTCCAATGGAGACATTACTGGGCCCGCTCGAGCTTACACATACAATATTTATTTATTTATTTGTTTTTTATATTTATTAGTGAGACATCATGAGGTACAGTTGT